ATCCATTTATTTGTAGTTATGTTTGTCAAAGTTGCGGCATATCTTGCGTGGTTCATCCTCTTCATGGATTTTGTGCTGGTTTTGTGCCTCGTAATTCCCCTTTTTCCTGCCCTCTTGTTTATGTTTGTTATAGTATGATAATGAGTAACAAACTAAACGTGACATTTCATGCAGGGATCCCGGTGAGCCCAAGATAATGTCCAAAGAAGATATTGTCAAACTGGCAGAGTTCGCATTGAAGGACTACAATGATAGACATATTTTTCTTTTGGATTTGCAACAAGAAGGTCCCGAGGCTAGTGTTTCTATAGGGGATATGTCAACTTATAAATGTGATACAATGGGATTTGCTATATTTTTTATTAATGCATTTTGGCTTTTTTTTTTTTTAAATTGTGTTTGAAATATTTTGAGATTATTAGTTCATTTATTTATGTTTTTAGATTAGAAAAATCACTATTATTGTTGCTTTTTTCAATATACGTCTGCAATTAATGATAATTATTATATTTATATTATTGAAAATTTTTAATTTTTAATTTTTCATTAAAATCAATTTTTTATGACACTTTAATTGTAATGTATTTGTTTGGATTCGTCACCATACAAAATTTTAAAATGACGGTAATTTTTTCACTAAATATTTATCTTTTCAGGACAACCTATGTTTTCATTTTATCTCAAGCTTTTAATGACAATCTTTTTCTTCGTAATCATAGTGTTAAGAATTTCTGACAAAGAATTCGTCATATTATAAATTTCTTTATGTGACGACTAATATTTTGTAATTATAAAATAACTCTTTCATGACGAATTATATGAAATATGATGATTCATATAACGGAAACACCACAACGATAATCGTCACTGAAATTTTATAAATTTGATGAAATAATGAAATTAGTCACTAAAAAAAATAGTGGACAAAGTTAAGTTTTCGTCATTTAAAACTTGTCCTTTTGTAAGAAAATAATAGTTCACATGACAAAATTCTCATAATAAACGTGATAAAATTATCGTCATGAAAGATAACCAAATAACATGACGATACATATAATCGTCACTAAAAGTGAAACATTTGGTGACAAGTTTAAAATTTGTCACCTAGACCTAATATGACGCAACTACGGTGACGATCTCTGTGACGATAAAATTTCTTCATCAATTTACTTTTGTGACGAAAAATAAGGTTTCCATGACGAATTTTATCGTCACATTTTCTGAAACTTCTTGTAGTGTTATATGACCAATGTGCTGCAAGTTATGTTGATTTTAAAATCGCTGCACGGGTTAAGTTTTGAAAAACTTGTGTTGTTCTTTCGTAAATGGGGTTTACTTGTTAAATGCATGTTTATATGACTTATAGGAGCTAAGTTGATCTAAGTGAATGTTGTGGTAAGTTGTTGATGTGTTGGATAGTTATTAATAGGGCTATCTCGATTAATATAGGTTCGGCGAGCGGAATCACCGACTTAATTATTTGTCTTGTGTGATTTCTCCACTTCAGTAACCATGTGGGTTTGTTATTCTAAAAATGCTATGCAGTAAGTTGTTTATGTTTTTGTTGAAAATTGGTATGATCAATGTATGCGTGTGAACCACGTAGCCTATCGATGTGAGCTATTACGACCAACGGTACGGTTATCCCCGTCGATATGAGTTGTATGCCTTTCGACGGTGCCTAATGATAGGCAATCTCCTTAAGTCCTAATGAAAGGCCATATCGTTGTAAGTCACATGGCGATGCCTTTGATATGTAAGTTGATGGCAATGCTTTCGATATGTATGTCGATGTAAGACACTTGGCGATGCCTTCGACATGTACTCCTACTGTCTAGTTGACGATGTAAGACACATTGTTATGCCTTTGAAAAGACTAGCAGTAGCTAAAGATAGGTGTGTACACATGAGTAAGGTGAATTGGTGTGTTATGATTGGAGATATGACATATTTATTGATTTATGTTCATACTGCGACCATACCATATGTTGTTATTTACGTGCATAGTGGTTAGCACCATGATTTCCATTTGTGCTCACCCCCACCTGTTTCTTCACGGATGCAGGTTAAGCAAGTTGCGGGCGTGACGAATAAAGAGACGAGTGGATGGTCATTTATTAATGCTTTGCTTCCGCTTTATATGAATTGGTGTGTTATGATTGGAGATATGACATATTTATTGATTTATGTTCATACTGCGACCATACCATATGTTGTTATTTACGTGCATAGTGGTTAGCACCACGATTTCCATTTGTGCTCACCCCCACCTGTTTCTTCACGGATGCAGGTTAAGCAGGTTGCGGGCGTGACGAATAAAGAGACGAGTGGATATGTGTGTACACATGAGTAAGGTGAATTGGTGTGTTATGATTGGAGATATGACATATTTATTGATTTATGTTCATATTGCGACCATACCATATGTTGTTATTTACGTGCATAGTGGTTAGCACCACGATTTCCATTTGTGCTCACCCCCACCTGTTTCTTCACGGATGCAGGTTAAGCAGGTTGCGGGCGTGACGAATAAAGAGACGAGTGGATGGTCATTTATTAATGCTTTGCTTCCGCTTTATATGAACCTTATGATTGAGTTTATTGGACATGATAGTTGATTTCGAACTTAGCTTTGAAAATGTTGAGATAGGTTTGTTTTGGAAACCCTTTGTTGGATATGTTCGTTCTGGATCAGGTTATTTGGACATTCATGTTTGAGGTGTCTTTTTAATATCATGTTAAATTGTTGTTTATCGGTTAATGAAAACCATGTGAAAAATCGGGTAGTGAATCCCCGTGAGATCAGACACAACTTGATCTATGTAAATGTTGAGTAATACCCATGATTTCGAAAATGAGTTCGAAAAATGTTTCTTTGATTTTTGGAAAGTCCGGAATTTCTTTAAAATCAAAGTGAGGCGTTACAATAAGTGTTTTATATCTTTTGTGTTGTGAAATGCATTTTTAATATACCTTAATTACGCAAATTGTGTAAATCCAAAATATTTATTAATCTACAAATAATTAGTAGAATTATGAAAATGTCAACTAAAATAATCAATTATATGATTAACATAAAATTATTCTAAAAAATTGTGTTAATGACAATTTTTATTAAATATCATTTAATAATTGTTATTTATTTTTTGTGTATTTAATTACTCAAATTTTGAAGAATTAAGAAAATAATTAGACCATAAATATTTACATTTTTAAGATGCTCTAATTACACAGTCGAGTAAATTTTATTTATTCAAGCATATTTTTTTATAAAATAATTGTATTAATGGTAACTTATATTTAATTATTTTTAATAATTATTTTTGGGGTCTTTTTAATCTATAAAAAATGTGGGTCTCGATTTTGTTTTGTACGTTGGTCAAATAATTTTGTAGTAAACCTGAATATCATTTTTTGTATATTATCGATAAAGTATGAAACTGAATTATTTGGTATACTATATATTGAGTCAAAATATCCGCTTATGGTAAAAAAAAAATAGAATCTCAATATTTTTTGTTATATTTCTAAGAATTTTACTTTACATTAATGAGAGAAAAATACAGAGAATACTATAGTTTGTAATGTGCATGAAATTTGGGAATAAAATTTTTAAAATGACACAAAATTTAAAATGAATATAATGTGATTTATTATTAGTTACTTGCACAGTACGGTGCACCAACTTTAAATAGGCATATTTAAAATGTAATTTTTGCACAATTTATATTTTATATAACATTTTCAAATTAATATAGGTAAATTGTATTACATATTGATTCCATATTTTTAATTTAAAATATTATTTAATGAGCATTTTTAATTTAAAAATATTAAAGAATATTTCTTAACCGTGCATCGGGATTCGTACTAGTTAAATAATATAATAATATATTTGCCAAAAATCTATTCTAAAATAATAGATTTTGTAGGCTTTATTCGATTAAGGTTGTTATTTAGTTTACCAATAAAATCGGATTTACATTGGAAAGCATATGTATTTGGTATGGAGTCTTTCATTTTTTTTTAGTACAACAATCAATGATATTCTTTCAAAATTTACAAACAAAGTTCCATTATATATGGGTTTCTTAATTTTTTTTTCCAACGATATAGCGATCTCCATAAATAAAAACCGACCAAAAAGGTCATAAGTACAAGGGGAAATCCCCGAATCCGGCAAACCTGAGAGGGCAGCACACAGGCTCCGTAAACACTACAAAACCAACAAACCGAACACTAAAAAACAACTAGAGAAACCTACCACAAACTGAAGCTGAAAGCGACATATAAAGCACAACACAGAAATCTTTACAAACCCAACCACATAACAACAGCCCAGATCAACAATATCAAATAAGAAACATAGCATCAAGGTAAAAAACTGACTCAAGACCTATTCTACCTCATCTGCACCTCCATTAGCCACTATTGTTGATAGTTTTGAAGTCCTGCCAGTCCATCAAAGCAGCTTTAATGATCCAGCTTTCATCATGCCACTTACTCTCAAAAACCCAAAGGTTTCTAGCTCTCCACAACCACCATAAGATGTAGGTGGAGAGTTGAATTATGTCCTCACAATAGTCATCATTCTCCATGGAGCTCACCCACCACCACCATTGCTTAAAAGACATCCTTTCCTCTTGCACTTTATTCCAGGTAACAGGGGCAAGCCTCCATACAGTTATGGCTTTCCTACATAGAAAAAGGCAGTGCTCTTGAGTTTCTTCCTCCTCACCACAAACTCTGCAAGTGGTATCAATCTCCACACCTCTGGCCTGCAAATTGGTACTCACTGGGAGGTTATTTGAGAAACATTGCCAGACAAAGTGCTTCACCTTGCCCATAACCTTCATCTTCCAACATCTAGCCCTAGCCTTCTTATTCCCACTAGCCATAGCACTATATTCAGCCACATGCCTTTGCCCCAGCTTGACAGTCAGGAAATGGGAATAGGCTCTCTTGACAGAAAACCTCCCTTTAGCCAAGAAATTACACTGCTATTGGTCTTTTGCTCTGGGGTTAAGAGTTTTAATCCTCATGATCTTCTCTGCATCATCTTCAGAAAAAAGGGCTTTGATGAGATTCATGTCCCACTGGACTCCTCCTGCCTGCACCAAATCCTTAACCCAGAAAAAGTTCCCATCCACCTCCACCCTCAACTGGGGTTTCCTACAGAAAAGTTCTGGAACCCAGTTAGTTTCATTAAGTTTGGTACTCTGCCCATTCCTAATCACAATCTTCACATGCTTTTGCAAATCAGGTAAAAGAGTGGCCCAAGAGTTCCAAAGCCAAGAAGCTCCCCCAGAATTCTTCCCATCAAAGATAGAGCAATCACTAAAATATCTGCTTTCCAGCACTCTGCACATCAATAAATCAGGCTGTTCAATGAGCCTCCACAGTTGCTTTAAGATCAAAGCCTTGTTAAACAGTTGGATGTCCAGAAATCCCAATCCACCATCCTCCTTGGGCCTAGTCAGTTTTTCCCAAGATAGCTAGTGCAAACCCTGTTTCTGAGAATCCCCTTTCATCCACCAAAATTTGGCTACAGCCTTGCAGATATCTTTACATCACTTCACAGGAAGAATAAAACAAGACATTACAAACACAGGAAGAGCACAAAGCACAGACTTCACCAGTGTATCTTTACCTGTTGTTGATAGATAAGAATACTTCCAACTACACATCCTCTCCCTCACTCCATCCACTACAAACTGGAAAGTTTCAATTTTAGAAGCCCCAATCCCCAAGGGTAATCCCAAGTACCTAGATGACCTCTTGACCACAACACCATGCAGAATGGATGAAATAGCATTTCTCAGAGACTCAGAACAGTTTTTGCTCAGAAACATAGAAGATTTATCCAAGTTCACCTTTTGGCCAGTGAAAATTTGGTACATCTGGAGGATCTCAAGAAGCAATTCAGTATGGGCAGTATCAGCTTTACAGAATATCAGAGAGTCATGCGCAAATAAAAGATGAGACAGCATAGGACCATCTCTATTCAATTTAACACCCCTGAATAGCCCATCATTGATCTTGGATTTCACATAAGAAGAGAAGACTTCAGATACTAGGATAAAGAGGTATGGTGACAAGGGGTCACCCTGCGTAATACCTCTAGAAGAAGAGACATACCCACAAACACTGCCATTAAGATTGAAAGAGAAAGTAGGAGAGGCAATGCAATTAATCACCCACTGGACAAATTTTCCATGGAACCCCATTCTACACATGATCTTCCTAATACAATCCCACTCTACTCTGTCATAAGCCTTTTCCATGTCTAATTTGACACCCATAAACACATTAGGCCCAGATTTATGTCTATGTAAGAAATGAAATAGCTCATGGGCAATAATAACATTATCCAACAATGATCTCCCAGGAACAAAAGCAGTTTGTTCAGGGCTAATACACATCTCTAGACAGGGTTTCAGTCTCTCAGCAATCAATTTCGCAATGATTTTATACAACACCCCACAAAGACTAATAGGCCTGAAATTAGTTAAGGCTTCTGGAAACAAACACTTAGGAATCAGGGTAATAATAGTGTGCTTCCAGTTTTTTAACACATGCCCAGTTCTAAAGAAGCTACTCACTGCTTTACAGACATCATCTTTCACTATAGACCAAAATTTTTGGAAGAAAAAAGCAGACATACCATCATCACCTGGGGATTTTTCAGGAGCCATAGAGAATACAATGGCCTTGATCTCCTCCTCAGTCACTGTTTTGATCAGATCATTATTCATTGCATCAGAGATGGAAACAGGAATATGCTGGAGCAGATCATCATCCCCACTTGACCCCTCAGAGGTAAATAGTTTAGAGTAGAAAGCAGAAATGTGTCTCTCCAAGGCATCTTGTGTATCACAGACCTCCCCCACATCAGTAATAAGCTTTGAAATGGAATTGGATCTTCTCCTCTGGGATGTAAGAGCATGGAAAAAATGGGAATTCCGGTCCCCAGCCTTCAGCCATAATGCTCTGGATTTAGCTCTCCAAAACCTCTCCTCCTCAAGATAAGCATGGTCCAGATCAGATCTCAAGTTACCCCATTCCTCCCAATCCCTGTCTTTCCCTTCTTCTCTCAATTCCTCAAGTCTGGAAGAAAGAATTGCAATAGCTTTCTCACTGTTTCTATGGATGGGTTTATGCCAGGCAAGGAGAGCCATTCTGGTATTTTTGATTTTTTGGTGAACTTGGAACATTTCTGATCCTTCAACCTCCACCTGCCAACCACCCTTCACAGCTTCTTGTACTCCCTCCAAATTAGCCCCTTCTCTGCTAAATTGAAATCTCTTATGCCTTCTTCCCATCTCTTTATCAGTACTGAAGAGGAGGACATTATGATCAGAGGCTGATCTAAAAAAATTAGAGGCCTCCATGTTTGGGAATTTGGTCAGCCATTCAAGGGATACAATGATTTTATCCAACCTCTCTTCCACATAGCCATCCCCTGCACTATTGTTCCCCCAAGTGAAAAATGATCCCAATTGATTCACCTCCTGCATCTCCATATTCATGATAAACTCTTGGAATCCTACAAAGTTATTAGGAGATCTCCTTACACCACCTCTTTTCTCTTCATTAGAAACAAGATCATTCCAATCCCCAGCCATCAGCCAGCTATTGCCCCACCTCCTTCTGTTAACTTCAAGAAATTCCCACTGCTCTTCCCTCTCTCTTTTGTCTGTACTCATGTACACAAAAAATAAACCAACCCCAATCAGACATCCCTGCCGCTTTCAGCTCAACTTGGCAGCAGAAATCATTCCCTACTATTTGCTTAATCTCAACACATCTGTCCCACATTAACAGCAAGCCACCTCTAGTTCCCTGAGGGTTCACCAAATGCCACCTATCTTGGTAGCCCAACTTTCTACACACTGATTTAGTAAACTGCACAGATTTCTTGGTCTCAGATAAGAATACTATATTTGGGTGGTGGATTCTTCTAGAATCCTTGATCTAGGAAACTATAAAGGGCCCACCCAGCCCTCTACAGTTCCACACCATAGCTTTCATTGATCACATTGGGGCCATTTATGGCTGGCCTTCTCCACCACAGATTGCTCACCTTTACTCTTCTTCTTTTTACCATTATCTGCCTCTGCATCATTGTCCACCCCATCATAGATAACCAAAGCTCTATTCCTCTTAAGGCTTTCAGAATGATCTAGACCACTGGATTTCACAGGAACTCTCTGCAGTCTACTTTTTGATGTGATTTGCCTCTTCCACCCAGCCCCAGATCTCTTTCTCAAATCAGCTTTACACAGTTCACCCACTGTTTCTTCAATAATAAACTCCTTAGCCTGCACACATTCCTCCACCTCCATCATTCTTCTTCCCTCATCTTCCACATGCTTAGCCACATTGCTAGGTGTTGGCTCAGCCACCCCCACAAATTCTTGTATCTCTCCATTCTTAGCACATGGGCCTCCTAATTCCCCCAACACAAGGGGTGAATGATCCCCACTTTCATTGCTTCTGATTATCTCTCGTTGACCCACATTGGAAATGATATTATCAGAGGCAAAGGAACCTTGGACTGGGTTGGTTTTCGGGTGATCTACTTTCTCACTGAACTGTCAGACTGCAAACTCCTTCCCCCCACAAATGCCTCCGAAGTATTTAGCCATTCCCCAAACTGACCATCAGCCACACAGTTATTCACAAAGTCTCTCAATCTTTTGCTACAGCTCCTGTCCAGATTCCCTATCATCCCACAGTAGTAGCATAGATTGACTAATTTCTCGTACCTAAATGCCACCATCACCTTTTGATTCCTAAGTTTAATGGATGTGCACCTGGGAATTGGTTCTTTCAGGTCGATTGCCACCAGCAGTTTCAGAAAACTCCCTACATCCCCGCCAACCTTACAAACAATCACGTTTTTAACTTTATTGAAAATTCTTCCAACCTTCTGGCCAACCTCAGTGCTCATCCAATTCAGAGGAACATTCAAAACCTGTACCCAAAGTGTGATCTCATCAAAGCAGCTGTGATTGCTATGTAGCCCATGAAACCATTCTTTCAGGATTAAGTATTGGTTTCCATACATCCAATTATGGCCTGCAGACACCTTCTTTTTATCCTCTTGAGAGAGAAATATAAACTGGAAAAAGATTTCGCTAATCTCTTTCACCTCCATGGAATATTGCATTCTCCAGATGGCGCCCATCGTTCTCTTAATTCCCAGGAGACCAGCATGCCTATCACCCACAACCTTACCAAATAAGCTTCTATTGCACTCCTCATCACTTGATTTGATATCATCCCCAGTGATTTCAGCCTCTCCTGCTTCTTTTGCCGATAAGGACATTTTGAACAGTTGTTGGAGAACCCCATCATCCCCCTCACTCGCCTTGGCCATACCTGCTAAGGATTCCTCCATCCTAGACCAACCCCCAAATCAAAATAATAAAACCCTAATTCGCTCTCACAGACCACGATCCCTGCGCAAACCTCCCCCCGAAAGCTGCCCCACAAACCCAAATAACGAAACGGATGGAAAGCAAGATAAAACAACGAAAAGATATTCAATACTCGCCGGAATTCAGCTCCCAACCGGGAAAATGAGGCTCTTACCCAAGAGAATTTTGGATCCCACCCGGGAGAATTTTTTATAAATGGTAGATTAGTAGATTATTTTTTTCATTATATGGGTTTCTTAATTTATTATTGAAATTTTTATATAAAATGTGGAACCAACTGATATGCGAATCAACTTGGTTTTCTAATTTATGAAAGCATACATTAACTGATATGCCAGTTTTTTTTTAAAGTATGCATAACAACAATTCAATTAAATTGAATACGACACTATTTTTTTTCATTTACCTTCAGTAAGCCGCAAATTATTTAAAACTTACATTATTTTTCATACAAGAATATCCAAAATCTTTTAAAATTTACAAACAAAATTTCAAGTTACATGGTTTCTATAAACACTACATAACAAACATTTCAATTTAAATAAATCATTAATTACATAATTTGTAATATAGGGTTTATAAAACTCTATATTTATGGAACCAAATAATTTAATAATATAATACTATTAATCTGCGAAAAAAGATAAAATATACTAAATGATTGAATAATATAATATATATAATAATATAACATAATAGTATAACATTCCGGATTTACCAAAAATTAATTATTGATTTTGATTTATACTCAAATCTTTTCTGTTATCACTAATAATCTTCTTCTCATAATTATCTAGGATGGACAATGTGAAATATGCAGTTAAAGCATAATAAAAATGAGTTTTTAGGATAAATAGGCCGAGTTTGATTGTGTTCATTTCTCTAGAAGCGGCATACTTGAAAAGTTTAAATTTATACAAAAAAATTTTTGTAAAATTCAATTTATGGATCTGACATGTGTGGATGATTTATTAAAATCTATATAAAATAAAAATAAGGTTAAATCATTATAAAACAAAAAATATACTCAAAATTTACACTTTATGGTCACAATTGTTTTAATACTTTATCAAAAATTAAACTTCATCCGATAAATCATATCGTTAGTTCATCATATACATATTTTCACTATAATTTTATTTCATGGTGTTAACAAATCAAAAATCAACAAATAATTAGAGCAATGAGGTGTCTATGCAATTCGCAATTACCAAGTGGAGAACATCTTGGTAAATACCGATCTACAGTTGTCAAGTGTAAAATAATTTTGCATGAAAAAAAAAGGATGATTTTAATAATGTACTCCCTCATATTCATGATGTGTTGTTTTAAAAAGTTGCACAATAATTAAGAATATTTTTTACCAATAGTAACGCTCATTAATGAAGATAGAGATGGATGTTTTGAAAAAAATAAAGAGTAAATATGAAAAGACGTAGTGTATTTATTAGCTAAATGAGGGTAATAATAGAAAAATACATACAAAAAATCCAAAACGTCATTTATTTTGTTAATGGTTGATAAAACTAAACTGACATTTAAAAAGAATAGGAGATAGTATGACTTTTTCATGATGAACATTTTATGATTACCTAACAAATGCTCTATGTATTATAACTCATTGGTTATTAGCATTTAATTATAATTTTTACCAAAAAAATACAGCTCGTGCATCACACGGGGTTACATACTAGTTAATATATAATTAATCTAATTAAATATCTTCTAAAATTCTTGTTCGTCAAGTCGCGCGTCCGTGAATCACGTCCGCACACTTCCCCCGTGCGCTTGCTCACACGAAATCTTCAAGATTTTGCGCACCACTCCCTTCTCGACTCGCACCATGCTTGCGCGCGCCTCATGTTCGAGTTCGAGCTCGTCTTTTTGTTCATGCACGCATCGTTTCGATCCATCGTGCGGCCTCACCCGATCGCATATGCCCTCGACTCTCGGTGTTCTCGGGCTTCGAAACCTCCATCTTCATTATTCTCGCCCCTATTAAGAATGTCCTTGTCCTTAAGGACTTCTCAATGAACTCCAAGCGGAGCTCGTCTACTCCATCGTCTGCCTCGACTTCCACTTATGCGTCCACGACTTCAAAGTATCCTGGGAACTCAAACGAGATCGTGAGTTCCTCGTCAAAAAATCTTGGAAAGTCAAATGGAAAAGTGGGCTCCTCATCGAAAAACGTATTGAACTTGAATGAAAACGAGTACTCCTTGGTTCGTTTCTTGGCGACCAGGCCTATCCGACTAACCTCCCTTGGATTGCTCGTCATGCATTGATGGCCCATAAAAAATTTTTTGCTGCAAATTACGCATGGGCCGAAGTCTAGTCGTCGCCAAAACTCGTCTCCTCGCTTGTTGTCCGTATTTGGTCTCTCGTGATGCCCGACCGCGCGTGACTCGATTTTGCGTATCCTCGCACGGTACTTGGCTAGATTTTTACGCAGCTCATCCATCTTATCACATTTGCTATCCTTCAATCACATTCTTTTGGTTATGAGTTTCACTTCTTTAGTTTCTTCTTCGACCTCTTTGATCCGTTCTAACTTCTCCGTCTCTATTCAATCCCTCCACTCTGAATTACTCATCAACACAATTTTTTTTTTTTTCTTGTTGCTCATATCAATCTCACAACCCAATATTTGTTTTTCTTTCTGAGCAACAACTACTCACCCATAAACCACTCAAAAATGAAAAGTTTTTTTTCTTTTCTTTTTCGTGTATAATAACCCTCGGCAAGTACTTCTTGTAAATAAATACCAGCTTAAAAAAATCAAATCTTATTCCTAAACTAACTCTCGAACAAACGTTATACACTAAAACATTTTTTTTAACTCACGACTGAACCTAAACTCAAACTAATAGTATGTATATATATATATGTGTGTGTGTGTGTGTGTGTGTAAAAGCACCAATGACCAAAAACTCTTTTATTTTTTCCAACAATCGGAACATAAATGAAAATTTCCAAAACCTTCAAAGTTTCAATTATCCAAACATAGTTCAAATATCATCCAAGCCAACAATAGTTTTTAGAAGAGTTTGCAGAAACATAAAATATAAAAAAACATAATTAGTGATGACCACGCCCGTCCTCTCGTGATCGTTGCTAGCTGAATCAACTTGAAAAACAATGTGGTGAGCAATCCTCTAGCACAGTGGTAAAATTCATAATATGCATCGATTCAATATAAACACATATAGCAAAAAAATCATATGAACATGAATAATATTTTGTCTCACTGCATTAAATACCTAGCTTAATGACTCTAATTTCAAGCCTCCATGGTAACCCCGCTTCAAGCCTCTTTGTAAATTTGGACTAGTGACTCTTATTTCAAGCCTTCATAATTTACCGGCTTTTGACTATTATACACATTTAACCTAAGTTCATGAATTTTTGGTATTATTACTATTAGTACCATTGGCATCAACCTGTCCTGCTTCTACTAGTCGTCGACATCAACCGGTACCGCTAGTAGAAAAAACTGCTTAATCGGCCCACTGGCCCACAATCACATACATATCAAGACTATACTAGCACATGTTTATAATGAATAAACGAATCTCCACCTAGTACTCGAAGATGGTGATGAAAATGCATATGGCGAAAAGTTGATGTTTCACAGAACATCTCTCGAGGCTCAGCTCCTCAAAATCTACAATTTTGAGTACAAAAGCCTTTATACAAAACTTGACTCATATTCTTGGAAAATATGGACATTAACTTATTAAAACTAATCGATTAAGGAATTCATAAAATTTGTGGAAATTCAGAACTCTCGTTTATAGGTTAAAGGGCTCAGAAAAAAGTCACAAGACTAAAAATTAGTTTCGACTCGAAAATGGATCGAACGGCTTAAAAACGGATGAGTGAAAACATAAAACCAAGCTGTTGAAAGTTGGATAGCTCTTCTATGCGCAACCAATTTATTTTGAATATAACTTTTAATAAAAACACGTATTAAAGTGATTCTTTTTCTAAAACAATCTCAAGACACATCTAAAACTTTTATTTGGCCATAATATACAGACAAGGGCTTTGAAATGGTGAAACTTTAACCAACACATGGACTTTGCCACTACAAAAAATTAGAACATACAACCCATGTGCAGTCCCCGTATCATGAACATAATTTTTAATGTAGAAAATATTTAGACTGATTTTTTAAAATATGAAAATTTGCGAGACCGAACTACATTTCATGTGAAGACCTTCAACGTTTTCAAGCAAGTTAAAGGGATGAAAACTGGTCAAACTTAAACAACAAATATGCTGCCAACTCTACAAAAAACTGCTTGCGCTGTGTTCGTATTTCGAATGTGAACTTTTATATAAGATAGGTAATTGCATTATTCTTGCGTCTACGGAAGATAACAAAATGAAATTCAAGTCATATACAGAGTTAAAAAACAAACAACTAAAGTTCGAGGGTCAAAACAGCATACGAACATACGAATAGAACACGACACCTTAAGGCTAAACATAATAACTCTCTTTCTCTTGAAACTTAATATCATGAATGGATTGAAATTTCAAGGCATGAAAGCGGCTTCAACCTTTCACAACTTCTTAGATTTTTCATCAAAAATTCAAGGCATAAACGAGGCTCCCAAAATTCGAGTCATCACATAATTTTCATCCAAAATTCTGAGGCATAAATGGATAATTCTTAGTCAATAAATTTTATCTAAAAACACCATATTCTTGTCAATTTAATCTAAGTAAAATTCTTCATAAAGAATCTTAACGTCGTCTTAGAATATTACCACACTTCGGGAATCTACAAGCACAAAGAATTTTAGATTGAATTGAAGCCTCAGACTTGGCCTGGACTTGCTCACGACTAAAAGCCATCAGACTATGTTCGACATTTCCTTGACTAGGTGGTTTCTCCCCTATCGGCGATGGTTCTCGTTGTGCGGCTGCTTACGACTCGTTACAGTGCTGCAGC